GTCTTGGCGCGGCGGGGGCCTCGGGTAGCGCGCCGCTCCTTCGCCTGCTCGAAGGCGCCCGACTGGCGCGAGGACAGGGCCAAAGACCCGGAATGAGTTTCCACGCAGTTCCGCTGGGCAGTGCCGGGCTGTGCTGGGCCGTGCCGGGGCAGTCCAGGACGGGAGGGGGTGGGGGCTTGAGTTGGCGGTGCCAGGGACAGGCGCTCGGGGCAGCCCGCGCCTTGCTGAGGTCCCCGCCCCGTCCCGGCCAGGCCGGCTCGTCTGTCAGTCCCTGGGGCCGAGGCAGCGGCGGTAGCCGGGCCGGAGCCGGGCGGTGAGCAGAGCGCGGGCCAGGCCAAAAGGAGGGGATCTGCTCCAGCCACTGAACACCACGGACTCTTCGCCCCAGATTCACCAAGCTGCATCCCGCGCTTCGTTGGACGCCTCCGTAACCCGCGAAGAGCTATCTCCCCCTTGACCCCCCAGCCCCGTGACCTCCTCATAGCACCCGAGAGCTCACCCAGACAGTGGGTACAGGCCGTCAACCCTGTGACCCCCTCAGGGGCCAGGGACTCAGTTTCCCCCACAGGCCTCCCTTCCTCAGATTCTGGGGACAGAGCCGTGACCTACCACTAGGACCCCCGCCTGAGAGCTCCTCACTGACGGCTCCCTCCTCGGAGTCCCGCTCAGTGGGTCTCCTAAGAGCACCCCTTTTTGTCTCTGGCAAGCCCCTCACCCTCAAACGGGGTGGGGAGGCCTTGGCAGCCATGCCCGACCTGGGCCCCCCCTCATCCCGCCACTTCCTGGGCGCCCAAGCCCAGGTCTAGCAGGGGGTCAGCAGCCGAGGGGCTGGGGCAGGAGACAGATCAGGGTCCACCTCCCTACCAGGGAGGGAGCAAAGATGGAGCGGCGGGAGGAGCAGCTGGGGGCTGCAGGGGCTGGAGCAGCACCAGCCTTGGACTTCACTGTGGAGAACGTGGAGAAGGTATGAGGGTTCTGGGGTGGGCACTCCAGTGACAGAGCAGAAGTTCTGGGGACTGACACTAACGCCAGAGCTCAGGCCTGGGCTGAGTGCCCGCTGGAATGGTGCCCCCAGAGCACCTGGCATTTTCTGTCTTTCTGGGTAGGCAGGACAGCAGTGTTGCAGTATCCTAATGGGCTATTTTTGGCTTTCCTTAGACACGGGCCCCCTATGGACAGATGCTCTAGGGTCTTGGGATGGTCCCTTTAGGGTGCTGATGGCTTAGACTTCCAGCCAGACTGGCTGTTCTCCAGCTCCGTGGGAACTGCATGAGCAGTGCGGTAGGAAACCGGGAACCCAGGATACCTGAAGCTTAGTCCCTGGGAACTATACTGATGCTGGACTATACTGAACCTGACTTTGAGCCAAGGGCTCAGAAAATAATCTCAAACCAGAACAATCTGGGCTATATTTTTGCTCTTCAGTGGAGAAGGGTCCTTCCTTTATTGGATGGAAGCCAGACCAGTCCTGGGCATGCAGGAGAGGGGCTGGCTCCCTTTATTTTGTGCTGGGTCCAAGTGGCCTGGCCCTGCTGGCAACCTTACAGGGCTTTTCCCTACTCACCTGTCCACATAGCTCCCTGCCATGGCCCACTTTCCCAGGCTCCCCCATTGCCGGATCCATGTTTTTTGAACTGCTTCCCTAGTCCTTTTCTATGTTCTGCTCCCAGCAGCCTGGAATACAGGAATGCATGCCCCATGGGATGAATGGGGAGAGATGGGGCTACCTTGCTGGAAAGCAGGGGATTTTTGCAGATGTTCACTTGTTATTCTTGAGCCCTGTTTGCCATAATAAACAATGAAGATGCCTCCCTTCTTCTCTTTTCTGCCTGCTTTGCCATCCCTGAGGGGCCAAGCAAGAAATAGTGGCCATAACTGGCTGTCAGGGCTACAGATAGGGTTAAGCCTGCTTGGATGGAGCCTGCTTTACGGTTAAGGATCCTGGCCTCACTCTCCCACCCCTTGGGGCTGGATAGTGTTGGCATGGTGGTGTGCTACCAGGGAGATAAACCACTGTTTTCTTAACTGTATGAAGTCCCATTGGAATTGGGACCCTAGGGATTCTGCTAGTTGAGAGCTCCAGGCTAAGCATTAGCTGGGGCTGCAGCTACAACCAAGGCTTCTCTGGATCAGCTTGTTGGACCCTCACATGTGCTTTCTGAGGGGTGTTCTCACCCTCCTCTCCAGTATGTGTCTGCCCCAGGGCTGCCCAGCAGAAGTCTTAGTCCTGCTCAGATTTCACACTGGCTTTGGTGCCAGCATCTGGAGTGACCTAGGATGATCCTGAGGGAACTGAATGGAGCTGTTGGAGTTGATGGGAGCAGCTGTGCCTGGGAGGGTCAGGGCCCCTCAGGCTGTTCCATGCTCTTCTCAGGCTTAGCTTCATCCCTATGGAGCCATTCCTTCCACCTAGGCCTTGCCCTCAAGGCCTCCTCTTTTTCTGCTTTCCTGTGGAGGTTCCCTCTCTGAATCCATAACATTTTTGCTATAAGGATAAAAGGGTATGGTAGAGCATGGGCAAGGTTCAGGCTCTCAAGATATCGGCAGGACCCTGGGCCCAGGAAACATTGCAGAGCCTTGAGCTCTTCCTTCTTGTTCAGCCCCCCAGTCAGGGAGAGGAAGCAGTCTTGCAGGACCAAGTCACGCCCTTTGTTCTGGGCTCTGGCAGAATCCATAGTGGCCAGCACCTGCTCAGTCCTGTGCTGTCCTGCAGGCGCTGCACCAGCTGTACTACGACCCCAACATTGAGAACAAGAACCTGGCTCAGAAGTGGCTGATGCAGGCCCAGGTCTCCCCACAGGCCTGGCACTTCAGCTGGCAGCTACTGCAGCCCGACAAGGTGCCTGAGATCCAATACTTTGGGGCCAGTGCCCTGCACATCAAGATCTCTCGCTACTGGAGTGACATCCCCACTGACCAGTATGAAAGCCTAAAGGCACAGCTCTTCACCCAGATCACCCGCTTTGCCAGTGGCTCCAAGATTGTGCTGACTCGGCTGTGCGTGGCACTGGCCTCTCTGGCTCTCAGCATGATGCCTGATGCTTGGCCATGTGCTGTGGCCGATATGGTACGGCTCTTCCAGGCTGAGGACTCACCGGTGGATGGCCAGGGCCGCTGTCTGGCCCTGCTAGAGCTACTGACAGTGCTGCCTGAGGAGTTCCAGACCAGCCGCCTGCCCCAGTACCGGAAAGGCCTGGTGCGGGCCAGCCTAGCGGTGGAGTGTGGGGCTGTTTTCCCATTGCTGGAGCAGCTGCTACAGCAGCCCAGCTCACCCAGCTGTGTGCGTCAGAAGGTGCTCAAGTGCTTTTCCAGCTGGGTGCAGCTGGAGGTGCCGCTGCAGGACTGTGAGGCACTCATTCAGGCTGCCTTCGCTGCTCTGCAGGACTCGGAGCTCTTTGACAGCAGTGTGGAGGCCATTGTGAATGCCATCTCACAGCCTGATGCCCAGAGGTGAGCACCTGCCCAGAGAGGGACTGCCTACTTGGCCAACCACACACCTATCCATCTATCTGTTCAATAAATAATAATCGAGTGCCTACTGCATGCATGGTCCTATGCTGGAGATATAGCAAGGAATCAAACAAGACTTGGTCCCTGTCCTCATGGTTCAGAGAAGGAGGCAGACATTAAACAACTAATCATGCAGTGCATTGTTCAATTAAAATATTTGACTCTTTCTTCTCATTCTCTCAACCAATCACCAACTTCTGGCTGTTCTGCTCCTGGCAATATTGCAAATCTATTTTTTTCTATTTCCACTGCTACCACCCTAGCCCAAGATATCATCATTTCTTTCCCCAGATTACTGCAGAGCTTTCTCACCAGTTCCCTGTTTTTTTCTTCTACCCTTCATTGTCCCAGCAGAGATATCTTTTGAAAATGTGAGGATCTGATCTTTCCTTTCTGATCAGAACCCTTCAGTGGTTTCTCTCTGCTCTTAGGATGAAGTTCAGAATCCTTAATGTGACTCATAAAGATGTTGCACAATATGGCATCACCAACCTCATCTCATACTGATCTCCTTGCTTTCTACTCTCTCACATGGTCTTTTCAGCTCCTTTAATGTCCCATGCCCCTTCCAGCCTCTGAACTGTCACATGTACTTGACATATCACCTCTGTTTTGGCTTAAATTTCACTTCTGTAGATGTCTTCCATGATTTTTAAGACAAAGTTTGGTCTTCTGTTAATTATCTTAGAGTTTTCAGTATTTTTCCTCCTTAGCCTATAACATGATTTCTTTATAAATAATTTACGTCTCCCCATTAGTCTCTCAAATCTGTGAGTACAGGGGCTCTGTCATTTTACCCTGTCACATTGTGCCTGGTATGTGGTAGCATTCAATATTTTTTGAATGGATGAAAAGTAGGAGTTGCCTGAGTGAGGAGAAGTGGGGGTGACTGGGGGAGGAGGGGGAGCGTTCCAGGCTTCTGGAACCACAGCAGTTGCAAAGACCTGTGGTGGGTACACTCAAGGACCTGTAAGAAGGTGAGAGTAGTGAAGTGTTCATTTGGCAAACGTTAATTGAGCACCTCCTGTGTTGGATGCTCTACTGAGTATTGGGAGCATATAGATGAATGCTTTAACTTCTGCATGTCAGGAGCTCACAATCTAGTGGACACATGAGTGGGCAAGTATAGTCAACATAATGAATGCTCTGATGGAGAAAGCAGGGGGCTCTAAGAGCCCAGAGGGGAGGCATTTAATCCAGCCTGAGTGTTGTGAAAGGCTTCCCAGAGGAAGTGACAACCGAGCTGTGCTTGGAGGGCTATGTAAGAGTTAGCCACATGGAAGTGATGGATATGGGGAGGACATTCCAGACAGATGAAAGAGCCCAAGCAAGGGAAGGGTGTGAAAGAGCCTGGTGAGTCTAATGATTTGTAAATTGTGGGTATAATTAAACAGCAGTGTTTAAGGGCCAGAGTTGTAGGAAATCTAGGCCCAAACCACGCAGGACATCATCAGCCAAGCTTAAGATTTTGGTCTTCATCCTCCTGAGTATGATGTGAAGATGTTAAAGGATTTTAAGCAGAGAAAATGGCCTGTTAAGATTTTTGGTACAAGTTGGATTGGAAAGGGCAGGACTAAACACTGACATTTCAGAGACAGAGCTTTGGGAACCCTTGCAGAGTTGGAGGGGAAAACCACTGAAAGAGACTGCATGGAAGAGTGGTTCATGGCTCAAGCCTTGGCATTAGTCATGGCTGAGTTTTGAGTTTGAATCGTTGATTTTCCACTAGATCTGAGACCTTGGGTAAGCCACTGCTAAGCCTCAGTTTCCTCATCAATAAAATGGAGGTGATCATATCAACCTCATAGAGTTGTTAGGTTTAAATAGGATACTGTGCATAAGGCCTGCCCCTGGTATTCATTCACTAAAGAATATTTTGACTCCCTGAGTAATGGGAGTTCCTTTGTGGCCTCTGCTGGGGGAAGGGGGGTGTGGTAGTCAGCAGCACCCATTTGTACATACAGGTCATTAGTACACCATTTGTTTTAAATTGGGGACTGTGTGTGTTATTGTGTGTGTGTTCTGCCTTTCTACCATATGTGATTAGTTTAACGGTAACTTTACTTACTTTTTAAAAAAAGGAGGAGAAACATATGTAGTTACTGTTAAAACTGATTAAGGCTGTTTACTTTTAGAATTGGTCATAAGAAGTGGAAACTGAATCATGCAATAGACAATGGCCTAACTTGATCGGTGGCTAAAGTTGAAAAGTGGTTGGTTTCTTTTTACATTTTTACATATATGTGTATACACACACGTATATAATGTGCTTAACCACTGCCTTAGAAAACTTTAT